GTTAAAAAAGTTTCAAAAATCCAATAGATTTCGTTCCACTTCACAATTGTGTCCCACTTGTTGGTGATTCTTCACATAAAATAAAAAAATTATATTTTTATGTTTGAAGCCTGAAATGTGGCAAAAGGTTGAAAAGTTCAAGGGGGCCGAATACTTTCGCAAGGCACTGTAGACTACCAGTTATAGGGGCATTAGTGGAGCTGTTAAGAAATATCCATTACTTTTGAAGTTAAAATAAATTGCTTACTGGTATATACTGTACATCTTTAAAAAAGTCTGCAAGTTTCTTTCTACACTGGACACAGCAAATTTTTAAATGCTGGACTTCAATCCCTGAGCCATTTCAAAGGGCACATTTTGAAATGAATGTTATGAACATACAGTAAGCAGAACAAAAAGGAAAACTCTAAATACATTTAATACAGATGAACGTTTTGCCAAATCCTTATTTCACTTAAGGAATGAAAAAAATACTGATGTCATAACTAATGTCTTCAACCTGTCAAGCTTGGCTTTTTAAAATGAGTCTTAGTGTTTTATTGCTGTGACATTTATGACCCTTACTAGAAATGACTCCACTGTTCGTTAAGAGAAAATGAAAAGATTATTTTTAAACATGGCAGGAGGCACAGGTTATTTATGTTGTACTGTTCTTGGTTTACAAGCAACTTGCAATCTATCCTAAGACTGTATTAGCTGAAACATACAGTATGTAACTTAAACATAAAGGATCCCTAGAATGCAGGAAATGTAATGTTCTTAATTTTATACAGAATTCTGCTTATTGGGATGATAGTGTGACTCTCAATATGTTCCCAGAACAATGTACACACAAGTGCATGGGGTGTACAGGGTATTGTATTTAAACACACATACACAGTACAGTAGGCATACAGTAGTACATATGCCTACTGCTAAGCACAAACATTACAGTGTGCAGAGGTTCTTACACATTGTAAAAAGCAACAACTGTGAAGTAATACAATTTTTCAATAAATACTTATTAGCCGGTGTCATTATATTTTTTTCTACCTAAAAAAAGAGATCTTAGATAAGATAACAGAGCCATCAGATCACATGGCAATCTCTCCTGTTTAGACTCAACCAAATAAACCCAAGTTCAAGGAGCACATAGATAGAGTTTCACCAGATAAATCATGTAGCTTTCGCATTTGACTCACCTGTACAGCACTGTTCAAAAAACAACTGTTTTGCCCAGGTTCATTCAGCAAGCCTTTGGTGGGAGCCAGAGAGAGCATGCTCCCAGGCTGGTAGGATTTTCCAAGATTGCCGCCCTGCTTCTTGAAGAACTTGACCCATGCCATTTGATTAAAGTTACACTTTGTAGAGAAGAGTTATTCTATAAGTATAATAAATTCTTAGCACTAAGGTTGTTCCTCGGTGTGGTACGTGTTACAGATCTCCGTAATTGTAATATTGGTTTTCCGCTTGCTGCGATTGCACTAGACATCAGGGTCCGATCCCACAAAATGACTACCAATAAAAAAATTCCATCTTCCGTCTTTTGGAAATGTCTGAGGGAGTGGCTCAAATTAAATGCCACAAAATTAAAAATCACTGGCAAGATGTCCTTTGTACCGAAACCAAAACCTCTGCGTGCAGAGCAGTAATCCAAGACGACTAAACCACTGCTGTGTTATTTCTGTAGCTTGCACATTGATAATCATTCTTCTTCAAGTTAAAGACATACAGTCCTTCTCCTGTTCAGTCATCAGCATAACATCAGAAGAAATTCTGTGATCCCGTATAAGGTGTGCCCACTTCTCTACATCATTTGCCGTTGTTGGTAATCAACAGAAGAAAGTTCCAAAGTTCATCCATAAGGAAGCTTGAGGACAGCAGTTCCACACATTGGACAACATCACATTGGTGACTCTGGAGTTAAGAGAAGAAAAAAAAACATCAAATGCATTAAGGTAAATGGAGACAGATGATGTTGTGCAAAATCTAAAGTAAGAGTAAGGAAAAGAGGGTGTAGTGACTTGATGCACACAAAACCCTGTCATATTAAATTGTTCCATTATTGCAATAAAGATAAAACAAACTCAAAAACATTCCAACAAAAAAGGATTATCCTGGAGCTCTGACTTGGGTGTAAAAACCATGTAAAATGAATTACACACACATTTACAAAATAAATGGGAACATAAATGGATAAATGGAAACATCAAATTAACTATGTAATTTAATTCTGTAATTTAATATGACGTTATATTGATATAATATACTGTAGTAATTATATTAATATAATTACTGTGCACTTTTAAAGTATATCACTGGTAGTAGACAGACAGCTTATGAGGTGGTGGTGCTAGACCAATTATGACTTTGTTGGAATCACGTGTTTTGAAGTATATTTTTGGCGCAAATAACTACAAGTGTGCACGCTAAGGAAGCTAAAGCAGAAATGGACACAAACAGTGCTTTTAACAAGGAATATTCAGATATTCAGGAGATTCCTTATTTAAGATTAATTTTTAAACTGTAGGTGGTAATCATTCAAGGAAGCACGTACAGTATATTGATCGGTTAATTGATTGCATCAAGATTCTGATACATTGATGTAGTGTGCTCTCACGAGGCACCAGTTCTGTAGGATTTGGGCATTTACGGGGACAATTATTAATTGTAGCCGTTAATCACAAAATGATTCTTTTGATGGCTTTAGAATCCAAACATGCGATATAACTCAAACAACGCACACACACAGGTACTAATACACAAGGATACATTTATTAATACATAGAATATGCATGTAAACCTAACAGATCTTATCGAGAGGGTTATCAGAATACAAAAGGTATATATTCAATCAGTTACAAAGAGTTACATATATCAAGAGGACATACGCTCGGTATATCATTCATTTAGACCGTTTCGTAAATGAACTTGGTTATAACTTCTACATTAGATACTGATTGCATCAAGATTCTGATACAGTGAGCAACCTAATGAACTTTGTAAATACTGTAGGAGCTACAAAGGATATTCCAAATATTATCAAAATTCAAGAATGGGCAACCTCCTGGAAAAATGACACAATGTAGTCAAGCGTAGATTATTACATTCAGGTAGCCGTAACAAACTACGTATAAGCAACAGGCAGCACTGAGCTTAAAGAAGCTAATTATAAAAAAAGACCATTTTTTATGTTGAAATCATTTTAATTTTCTAGACAGTGTGTTAGCCATAAAAAGGCCAACTACGTTATTATATTAAGGAATATTAACATTGTAGAACACAGTAGTTAAACCTACTGTAATTTAAAATGTGTAATATCTGAGGAAATTCTGAAGCATGGTGGAACTAATATTATGGCATGCTTGTACAGGTGGTACAGGTGAGACTGTGGTTTCATAATTAGTCGAGTACCACAGAGTTCTGTATTGGAACCCCGGCTCAACATAATTAATACTGCTTTTCTATATTTTGTTTTAGTTCTGAAATGAGTTGAAGTCAGAGACTATAATGAAACGGGAGTTATATTCAGCAGTGCGGAAGCAGAAAGGTAACTGGCTGATTTAACTTGTTAAGGACTGAGATGGATTGAAAACCTGCCAATAAACTTGCCTTCCATTACCAGTATGGGACAGCCATGCTGTGGACTGCTACTGGAGAAGCAGTAAAATAATGTCAAATTGGAAGGATATGTAATCAAAAGCGCAGACTCTTTAATTGAGGGAAATATGTCCTACCAAAAGCATGAGGACATACTGCAAAAATTAAACAAATGGGAAAGAAGTGGTAGTATGAAATATAATCAAAAGAATAAGAATAAGAATAATTTCTCAGGAATACAAACATGACTGAACACCAGTCACACCTGTGAAGCATAGTGGAAGTGATGTTAAGGCCTGGGCATACATGGCTACCTTTGGAACTGACTCAATCATCTTTATTGATGATGTAACTAAGGATGGCAACAACTAAACAAATTCCAGAGTTTACAGAAATATGTTGTATGTATAAGTATACTTTGTTATAGAATGATCAAATAATTAAATGTTAATGACACTGAAAATGTCATTCAAATTAATCTTTTGACCACAAATTGGATGACTTTAAAGCAACTGTGTTGACTTTGCAATTGCAATAACTCTGGTGGCCACTGTATCTACAGTACATAGTTTCTATTTGATTTAAACTACACTGTATTTCTAAAGCAATCTGTAAATTGCATGCAACAGAGTACTGAGGGTTACAGTTTTTAAACCACTCCAAATTATTTCGAGAGCAGATGTAATTTAGTTTCAGATTTTGCAGGCCAAACGTGTGACTCTTAACTTTGTTTACTCCCCATAAAATTCTGATGCACTGCTTTCTTTCTGTAAGTAATAAAAAGTAATAAACAGAGAACTGTAAAATGTTGTTCAAGCTATTAGAAATTTAAAATAAAGAATTGGAATACCATAGTTGATAGATATTTAATGAGTAAATCTGACATCTGACAACAACTCAGGTTCATCTCAGGATGCTGAGACTCAAACTTGGCCAAGAACACACATACAAAGTGGAATAGGTGGTGTCAGTCTGCTCGGAATCAGACATTAAAATAACCAACATAAGACGTATGAGACATGTATGATTCCAAAGTAAAATTGTTATCAAGGGATTCGGACTAAATTTCTCTTACCCCGATATTGGCATTTGGTATATTTAAGTCCATCGATATTTGTAACACAATATTTAATAAAATATCCAAAACATTTTCTAAAACAAAAAAAAAGATGTAGTAAGCCAACACATTTCTGACTCGTGCTTAAAAATACTGGGTGTTGAGCAGCTCCTTTAAAGATAGGGTGTCCTTGGCTTCTCTTTCTGCGAGGAGAGTGTAGTGTTATCAGTGACAGCTATATCATTCCTCAAACCAGTGCTAAATTTGCTGTGAGCATCATTGGACCTAGAGTGTGAAACAAGTTAGAAGCTCCACAGTAAGAATTTGCAACGAGGGTTGAAGCAATTCAACCGAGCTGACTGACAAGTAGGGCTGCCAAATTGGGGAGTACAAAATTATTTTAATTTTGGATTCAATTTTTTAAACAAATATCAGAACTCATAGACAATAGAACCTGACTAGGAGCTTAATCACTTCTGCATCGATATTACATTTCTATTCTGTTAAACAGCACACATTCCTGACAATGAAGTACACTGTAATACAAAATAAATTCAAGGTTACTTCAGAGTCTTTTCACTCAAGGAGTTTATTCTTCGAAGATAAAACTTAAATGACACAAATGTAAGCAGACAGTACAATGTGTTCTGCGAAAATGGAAATTGGCCATAAAACAACATCTAAGGTGCAGAGAAAAGATTTTCTACTGTGTATACTGTAGATCTGGTCATTTACACTTAAATATTTTCATAGTGCAATTAGTAGTGATTATTTAGAAACAAAGTAGTTTTAAGTAAAAAATTAATTAAGTGCCGACAGGCTCTTTTGGTGTGAAAAGAAGATTAGAAATGCATTTTAAGTGAATAAGTATTGCTAGCACTTTACTTAAACTTAAGGAAACAGGCCAAAGCAAAGTAAGCCCTCAGAAATAATCATACAAAAAAGAAATTCTGCATAATAGAAAAGGTCATTTTAGTTTGGCATTAGGATCCTTAAATCAGTGTGCAAAGAAGTAGTTTAAGCACTTGCTTATTTTAATTATCTTTGAGTGTTGAAGTGCATGTTTGAGTGGAGGTTAGCAGTACTGGTCTTCGGTACTGTATTTGATGCCAACCTGAAGTAACTTATATAGTAAGTATGTTCTCCCCATGTTCATGTGGGTTTTCTCCTAGGCATTGTGATTAGGTCTGATATGCTATTCTAAATTGTCCCTTTCTCCACAACCCGGTGGTGGTGATAGATTGGTGTCTTGTCCAGGGATTTAAAGTCCTTAGTTGCTCCCTACACTTCCAAGATAGCATCCCAGAACGTACAACCCTCTCCAGAAGAAGCAGCTTTCTGAAAATGGATGGATGAAATGTGGAGTTTCTTTTTTCTAGGCATCAAACAAACTAGCTAATGTTAAATCACATCAGCAGATTGTCCTTTATTTCTGTTAAAGACAGCAGCCCTGGACACTGGAAGTCTGTCCTGGAAGCTTTGGGCACGAGGTAGGATTACATCTTGAACAGTACTCTAGTCCATCACAAGGCACACACACAAGCACAATGAATCTAAAAAGTTCATCTAAGTGTGTATGTATGTATCCCAATGAAAATATTAGGAAGGCTCTACTTTTTTCTTTGCATTCAATAATGTCTCGATATGAATTCAGGCCCGCAGTGCAGACAAATCCTTTCTTTTCATACTTAAAAATAACTGTCCTTATCACCTACTTGGAGAACAGCGAAAGAAATCAAATGAATCATAGATGACTAGCAATGTGCTTTAATGGTTTCAGTAACTATTTTACGGTGTCTGCTGCTTTTGACATTTGTGAATGCATCATTGTGAAGTGAAAAAAGTTTTGCTAAACTCTTCAATGAGTACCATCGAGTTTAAATCTAGATCATGATGCAGCTGTAGTGACACATTAAATTGGAATACTGAAAATCTGATTGATCAAATTAAGAAAATTGACCATGCTTAAATACAGCTCATTATACACTACCTCTTGTCATCTGCATCAACTCAATTTTTCAGATAATTAGGTTTATGTTTAAAATCGCAGTATTTTATGATGCTATTCCTATCCATCAGATCAGCTGCTGCATGATGCCTATAAGGAAATTTAAACATTATCAACCATGATAAGCACATATAAAGGCAAGGAGGACAAATTAGCAGACACCAGATAAGGAAGACAGTTTCCTACAAATATGGCAGTGTGCTATGTTACTGTACATGAAAATACTACAGAGAAAGGCAATTAAGTTCAAGA